TTGCTACCCACAGCAACCCTCCAGTGCCTGCTGGATGACAGCGCCCACCTCAGCTGGCTGAGCCAGCCCACCTGCGTCCCCCAAGCGGCAAATACCGAGGTCATAGACCCCCAGGGGGTTTTCCTTGACCAGTGCTGGGGCCATTTACTGTCCCTCCCACATGTTGCCGGTGCCCCTGACAGGTGCTTAGGCAGAGAGGGCTGCGTGTGGGGCCCAGACCCAGGCCTAGGTGCGAGGCCCCGACACCCTCTGAGGCACCTCTGTGCCTGCTCTTCTCTCCACAGAAGTGGAGGTGGAGCCTGCCTGGAAAGGGGAAGAGGAGCAAGAGGAGGAGGGCACGGGGCCTGACGAGGTCAAGGAGGAGGGCCCCCAGCTGGAGAACGGACAGGCCCCCGAGGAGAACGAGAACGAGGAGTCGGCAGGCACAGACTCGGGGCAGGAGCTTGGCACCGAGGCCCGGGGCCTGCGCTCAGGCACCTACGGCGACCGCACGGAATCCAAGGCCTACGGCTCCGTCATCCACAAGTGCGAGGTGCGGGGGAGCATGGCCAGCCCTCCCTGCCGGCCTCCCCTTCCCTCGAGCTTCCCCCCTCGCTGCCCCTCATGCCCTGCCTCCCCGCTGCACCTGCAGGACTGTGGGAAGGAGTTCACGCACACAGGGAACTTCAAGCGGCACATCCGAATCCACACGGGGGAGAAGCCCTTCTCGTGCCGGGAGTGCAGCAAGGCCTTCTCTGACCCGGCCGCGTGCAAGGCCCACGAAAAGACACACAGGTACTGCCCCAGGCTGGCCTCCTGCCCTGGCCCCTGCCTGGCCGGGCCTCTCGAGCCCTGCCTCCCTGTCGCCTTCTGGCCCCGTAGCCCCCTGAAGCCCTACGGCTGCGAGGAGTGCGGGAAGAGCTACCGGCTCATCAGCCTGCTCAACCTGCACAAGAAGCGGCACTCGGGCGAGGCGCGCTACCGCTGCGAGGACTGCGGCAAGCTCTTCACCACCTCGGGCAACCTCAAGCGCCACCAGCTGGTGCACAGCGGCGAGAAGCCTTACCAGTGTGACTACTGTGGCCGCTCCTTCTCCGACCCCACCTCGAAGATGCGTCACCTGGAGACCCACGACACAGACAAGGAGCACAAGTGCCCACACTGCGACAAGAAGTTCAACCAGGTGTGCAGACCCCTCCCCGAGCCAGCACCTGGGAGCCCCCAGCAGCCCCACGCATGCCATATGGTCGGGGGTAGCACAGCCCCAGCCTCTAGGAGCTCATCAGCCTGTTCACCCAGGAAACAGGGCCAGCCCCAGCCCCTCCTGCAGGAGAGCTCTTGGCTGCTCCGCTGAGGCAACCGGAGGGCAGGCCAAGTCAGGATGGGGTTTGGGCCTGAAAGAATGGGGTGGGGTGGCTTGCCTCTCACCCCTGGGACCTGGGAGCTCTCCTGACCCAGGAGAGATGGAGACTTCACGGGCGTGGCAAGCCTGAGAAGCGATTGCTCCTTGGTGGGAGGGGCAGGTGAGAGGGCCCAAGGCCGAGCTCTGCGGGGTGGCCCCCTGACCTCTCCCTGGGCACAGGTGGGGAACCTGAAGGCCCACCTGAAGATCCACATCGCGGACGGGCCCCTCAAGTGCCGAGAGTGTGGAAAGCAGTTCACCACCTCAGGTAGGGCCAGGGCTACCCTGGCTGCCCTCACACTCCTGCTCCTCCGCCATCGGTGGTGCCCCACGGCAGGTTTGCCCTCGGTCTCGCCACAGGGAACCTGAAGCGGCACCTGCGGATCCACAGTGGGGAGAAGCCCTACGTGTGCATCCACTGCCAGCGGCAGTTCGCGGACCCCGGCGCCCTGCAGAGGCACGTCCGCATCCACACGGGTGGGTGAACGGCCACACCCGGGCTGGGAGGGCACGGGGAGAAGCCAACACCAACACCTTCTTCTCGGCCCCCAGGTGAGAAGCCGTGCCAATGTGTGATGTGTGGCAAGGCCTTCACCCAGGCCAGCTCCCTCATCGCCCACGTGCGACAGCACACCGGGGAGAAGCCTTACGTCTGTGAGCGCTGCGGCAAGAGGTCCTGCCCACCCCGCCACATCCATCGCCCAGACACCCCACAGTGAGGGGGCCCAGAAGACAAACTGGGGGCTTGGCTGGGGACTGGGATGACTGCTGCCCACACCCAGGCTCTGGTCCCAGGGGTCCTTTTCAGTCTAGAGGGTGAGGCAGGAGGCCCAGGCTGGGGCGGTTCCATGCGAGCTCCTCCCTGTGGCCCCACAGGTTCGTCCAGTCCAGCCAGTTGGCCAATCATATTCGCCACCACGACAACATCCGCCCACACAAGTGCAGCGTGTGCAGCAAGGCCTTCGTGAACGTGGGGGACCTGTCCAAGCACATCATCATCCACACTGGTGAGCCATGCCCCCACCGTGCCTGTGGGGAGCAGGGAGAAGGAGGGGACCCCGAGACCCCAGCCTCAGGTGCTGCCTCTTGCTGCAGGTGGCCTTAAAGGCAGTTCCATTCAAATAAGGACCCCATTTTCCTAGAGTTTCCAGAGGAGCCAATGTCACGGGAGGCATCTGTGCAGCTCTAGTGGCCGCCCCAGAGCACGTCCTGCTGTAAAAGGGTTGCTGGGCAAAGGAGTCATTGAGGGCCTCCCACCCCACCCCTGTGGCCCCTTCCCCCTAAGGAAAGAGAGAACCTTGCTCCCACAGGAGAGAAGCCTTACCTGTGTGATAAGTGTGGGCGTGGCTTCAACCGGGTAGACAACCTGCGCTCCCATGTGAAGACGGTGCACCAGGGCAAGGCAGGCATCAAGATCCTGGAGCCCGAGGAGGGCAGTGAGGTCAGCGTGGTCACTGTGGATGACATGGTCACGCTGGCCACTGAGGCACTGGCGGCGACAGCCGTCACTCAGCTCACAGGTGCGGGCTATGGGCAGCAGAGGGAAGTCACAGGCAGCTTGCTGCCAGGGTGTCGATGATGGGGCAGTGCCCGTGCCTTTGCCTTACGCCCTGCAACTCTGCCCACAGTGGTGCCAGTGGGAGCTGCAGTGACAGCCGATGAGACGGAAGTCCTGAAGGCTGAGATCAGCAAAGCTGTGAAGCAAGTACAGGAAGAAGGTGAGAGGGGCCACCAGGGTGTGAGTACAGGTGGAGCCCGGGGTCCTTCCCACCCTGACTGCAGCTCCACCTCCACAGACCCCAACACTCACATCCTCTATGCCTGTGACTCCTGTGGGGATAAGTTCCTGGATGCCAACAGCCTGGCTCAGCACGTGCGGATCCATACAGCACAGGCACTGGTCATGTTCCAGACAGACGCGGACTTCTACCAGCAGTACGGGCCAGGTGGCACATGGCCTGCTGGGCAGGTGCTGCAGGCTGGGGAGCTGGTCTTCCGTCCTCGGGACGGGGCTGAGGGCCAGCCTGCACTGGCAGAGACCTCCCCTACAGCTCCTGAATGTCCACCGCCTGCTGAGTGAGCTGGCAGCCCTTCTCCTGACTGTTTATTTAAGGATGGATGGCACCCTGGAACCGGGAAGGGTGACCTGTTCCCTAGAGAGAATAAATTGGATTATTTTCTAATGCTGCCTGTAGGTCCCTGTGGGGTGGGTAGGGAGTTGGCAGTTAGGGCTGATGCCACAGAAGGGCTGCACCACCCAGGAACAGCCTTCCTGAGAAGGTCAGCCCACCCCTCCTGTTGAATGCAACTGGAACCAGAGCCGGCCTGGCTGCTTGGCCCCAATTGAGGAGTGGGCAGCATACTCGGGCTGGAGAGATTGCGGTACCCTGTGTCCTGTGTCCTCATCCTGTTTTCTGTTTGGAGGCTTCTCACCTGTTCAGCTTTAGAGCCCAGCCTCCCCTCGCCCCACAGCGAGCACAGCTATCACCCTGCTTCCCCCTGCCCAGGTTGAGGAGAGGTTGGGAAGTTGGGGAAGGGACCAGCAGGGGCAGCCAACAACTGCTTACCAGGGCATAGGCAACCCAGGGCAAACCTGGCTCACAGGACACTGCTGCCAGGCTTGGCTTAGGGGTCCTTTCAGCAAGAGTGGCAAGGGAGGCCAAGGAGAGTGCCAGGCCCAGGCAAAGGAGAATGCCAGGCCCAGGTCCCTGGCCTGGCTCTGATGGGCCTGGGGGAGGAGACAGATGCCACACTTGCTTCAGCAAGGTGGCCCGAGGACTAAGGCCAAGCCAGTGCCATCATCTTTTGGGAAGGTTCAAAAGATGGCATCTGGGCCACCAGGCTGGGAGCCCAGAGGAACAGGAAGGAGTAGCCAAGAGCTTTGATGAGGAGGTGGGGGGCTGGCAGAGCAGCTTTCTTACTCCTGTCAGCAAGGAGTCAGGAGGTACCGTCTCGACCCCCTTCCCACAGTTGGCCCCAGCACCTGAGCTCCACCATTTAGAGGGGGATGCCATCTTCTCACACCAGAACAAGCCCATCCGTAGGAGCCCATTGGCATTGCAAGTGAGACCACCAACTCTGTAGTCCCCATGTCCCTGTCCCTACGCCAACTCCACAGCTTGTAGAGGATCCAGCTGCAGGAGAAGCCTGTCCACAACCCTCATCCTCCTGTCTGGAGGCAGATACAGGATCAAACGAGCCCCAAGGATCCCAAGCAGGCCACTGCATCTGCAGGAGGCAGCCTGCTTCACACACTGGAAGTGAGGGGCAAGAGACAAGAAACCAAAGTTTGCTGAGACATTTCTGAGACAACATGGAGTGTGGTTATATTCTGTATCAAAATTGGAAGTGCCTTCCACGTTACCTAAGAACCAATTAATTAGGAGCTTGAAGACACCACAAGAGTGAGAAATGGTTAAGTTCCATGTCGATGACAAAAATCTCTTGTACAAGACAAAAATTATACTTGGGGAGGAGGACTGAGTAGGAGGCAGAAGGGAAATAGGTCCCATATACAGACTTGACACGGGAAGCAAAAGCGGGATGAGGGTTAATTGTTCCCATAAGCCAAGGCCATGGTTCATCCTCCCACCCAAGTGGCAATCACATTCACACTTGGTGTGTTTTATATTTTTTAATAAAGTTTGTAATCCAATGGACACACAAAACAAAACTGCGCTGAGAAAAACAGTTTCATAAATTAATAAGTGTTAGGAAGTTGGGGGAGAGGTCAAGGTAATAGGAAGAGGGGTTAGCCAGTCTTTTTGTACAGGTGGCGTGTGACACTTCCACATCGCGGGAGCAGGACCCGTGCTGTACCGAAGCGCACTTATACAAATGAGTGGGCAATACAAAGTCTGAATATGAAAATAAGATTTCCTCTGAAAACACATTTTTGGCACAGATTAAAAAAAATGTATGTCGGGGGATTGGATTTTTTCAGTCAGTATTATATATATTTATATATATTATATATTTATATATACACACATCCCAAGTTCTGCATATCCCACCAAGAGAAAACCTTTCTGTTTGCTCTTCAACTGTAAACTGTACATCCCGGTGAATCAAAGACGGTGGTAGCAGGAGAATTAAGGTGATGCATCCAAATGAGCAAGGGAGATGTGGAGGGACAGAAAAACCCAATGAAATGTTCCTTGACCCCAAGGTCTCTGCAGAAGTTTAAAGTCTTTCCTGCGTTGAGTCCACGATGTGTGTCTACATATGAGACATCCAGAGTGTCACAGCCTGTCTTCACTGGGCAAAAGTCCAAGTCACTAATTTAGTGCAAAGGCAGTTCTGTTTTCTTGTTTCTTAAAAACAAACAAAAAAAATTTTTATTCCACTGCCCTGTTCTTTTTCTCCAAAAAGAGGAGAGAGAAACCCAGCCCCAGGGTGTCTGCAAGTCCATTGGTTGGTGATGTGTCCTTGGGCTAAAGCATCATGTAAACATACAAGGTAGCAGCACCACTCCCAGAGGAAGTCTGTCCGACTGAGCCGGGCGGCCGGACAGCGAGGCTGGCCGTCTGGCAGTGGAGTCTCCCCTTCAGCAGCTTCTTCCTCTGCTTGGCTGGGTTGTCCTTTGTTTTGATTCACTGAGGTGGTGACTGCTTAGCAGCTCACACGGAGGCAATGACAATCATGAGGTGGGGAGAGATGTTGGAGATGCTGGCAAGGAGGTCAGGGGCCAGGCGGGACAGGTGACTCTCGGAGAACTCACAGGGTGGGAAGATCTGCAGCACATAGGCGGGCTGGAGACAGGACGAGAGAGCAACATGGGACCCTCTCTCTTCACATCACCACCCAACTCCGTTTCCACTGGGGGGACCTGAAGAGGCCCAATGCTAAGAACCAGGCTCAGTCCCCAACCAGCAAATGTCTCCAGGACTATGTCCACTGGAAGACCTAGCAGGTGTCAGAAAACTATGAACAGGAACCCCTGGGGGCCCTCTTCCCTGTCATTAAACTCAAGGGACACCTGTGTTCTCAGTGGTTCCCCAGGTTCTCTCCAGGATGGGCGATGGCGCCCTGCCCTGTGTGCTCTACTGGCTTCTATCCAAAATGCCCCTTTGCCCACCTCTGGGAAGCTCTGGGACCAGCTGTAGTGGGCACCAGATGACTCAGCCCACCTACCCTGACCAGCCCCACCTATGGGTGTACATGTGAAGGAAGGACACAGGAAAACCGACCTGATTGGAGCCAGGGTTGGGAACGTTGATGATCCCTGCTGCCTGCTTGGCCTGCAGGTAAGTGATGAAGGCAGCCTTGAGGGACTCAGTCTGGCTCACAACATCCTCTTGGTCACGGCCACAGGGCAGAGCCAGCAGCAGACAGTAATCTGTCTCCACCTGAGGTAAAGGCCAACAGCCAGTGAGCAGAAGCCTCCTGGTCAAATAGCAGCCCAGGTCCACAAACCCCGCCCCCCCCATGACTTTAAAGTCTACCCTGATATTTGAATGGGAAAAAAAAAGCTTTTTTCAACCTGAGAAAGTTGATTTAAAAAATACTTTTTAAAAATGCAAGGGAGGCCGAGGCGGGTGGATCACGAGGTCAAGAGATCGAGACCATCCTGGTCAACATGGTGAAACCCCGTCTCTACTAAAAAATACAAAAAATTAGCTGGGCATGGTGGCACGTGCCTGTAATCCCAGCTACTCAGGAGGCTGAGGCAGGAGAATTGCCTGAACCCAGGAGGCGGAGGTTGCGGTGAGCCGAGATCGCGCCATTGCACTCCAGCCTGGGTAACGAGGGAAACTCCGTCTCAAAAAAAAAAAAAAAAAAAGCAAAGCCGTGTTTCTGGATCTAGAGGCACTTTATATCCCCCCACCAAGTAGAAGCAGAACGGACCCTTCATTGCCCACTTCAAGAACACCATTACTGGCCAGGTACAGTAGCTCATTCCTGTAATCCCAGCACTTTGGGAGGCTGAGGCGGGCAGATCACTTGAGGTCAGGAGTTCAGGACCAGCCTGGCCAACATGGTGAAACCCCATTTCTACTAAAAATACAAAAAATTAGCTGGGCATGGTGGTGAGTGCCTATAATCCCAGCTACTCAGGAGGCTGAGGTAGGAGAATGGCTTGAACCCGGGAGGCAGAGGCTGCAGTGAACAGAGATCACACTACTGTATTCCAGTCCGAGCAACAGAGACTGTTTCAACAACAACGAGAATACAGTTAACTCTTCCATGACAGGTCAGAGACGGGCTGACGGCTATCTCCCTCTTCCCTCCTCACAGGTGGAGCAGTTGCTCACCTGGGCCTCAGAGTCTTACCGTCATCCTTCGGGCAACCCCTTCCAGCTGGGATGCCTCCAGCCGCATCCTCTGGGCGATCCTTAGTGGGGGCCCTCCTTCAGACAGGGGCAGGGACCGATGGGCCAGGACGTTGTTGCCAGAGACGAAGTGGAGCTGCACAGCAGCTGTGTCATTCTTGAGGGCCAGCAGGCCCTGCCACACGATGGGGTACTTCTGCTCACAGGGAAACAAACAGGAAGTGAGCTCATGGCTGCAGGGCTGAGCCACACTGGACATACCTGAGGCTGTAGCTTGTTGGTCTGTTAACTAAGGAATCTTAGGACATTTAACATGGCATAAAACCTGGGGGGCCAGGAAGGACGGCCCCTGCTCATGCTTACCTTCAGAAGTTGAACCATATCCACAGGTCTCTGGGAAGTCAGGTGTGGAGAGGAATCTTGTTTGGGGGTTGGTTGGAACTCAGTGTGTGGCAGAACCAGTCCTGGTGGGGTGCTGGGGCCAGAGGTTGTTGGGACAAACAACGTCTGTTTTGGGGCAGTCTGAGCAGGAAGAGGGACTGGAAGGTCAGGCTTCATCGAGACAGACACGGGGGAGGGGTAGGAAGTCGGGCCTGTTTCCACTTGTGCCCTCTGAACCTGGGCATGAGGTTCAGGTGGCCTGTTTGCAGGTCCAGCTGAGAGGCGAGGCTGCTCTACTCCTGTCTGGGTCCCTTTTGCCTCCTGGGACACCTGAGGCATCTTGCTGCTTGGTGGCTGGCCGGGCTGGCTGAGTTGGGAGGGCGGGCAGGGTGGTGCGGGCTGGGCAGGCTGTGTGGACTGCACGGGCTGAGAAGGCTGCAGGGGCTCACCTTCAGGAGGAGGGCCCTGGGGTCAGGAAGGAAGGCAAAGGGACAGTCAGTCTGTTGTGCACAAACCCCTGTGCCTAACAAATGACCCAAAGGGCCACAGGGAAAGGGTCAGATGTGGCATCTCCTGTCAAGTCAGGCCCACAGCAGGAGCCTGAATCAACGGAGCTGCTCTCAGAGTAAGAAGAGATCCCCTATGACCTCCCGCCGACACCACCCAGTAAGAGCTCCTTCCCTATATGCAGAGCTCCCCATGACATGATCTGAGCTAATCCTTTCATCTCAGAACTAAGAAATCTCTTTAAACTCATGAAAAGATCATCTTTAGGGATAGGTGACCAGTTCACTTGTACTCAACCACTATCTTTACCAAAAGGCGGATTTTTCTTTTAAGTATGGACAGTTTCACCATGTTGGCCAAGCTGAACTCCTGACCTCAAGTGATCCGCTGGCCTCAGCCTCCCAAAGTGCTGGGGTTACAGGCGGGAGCCACTGAGTCCAGATGCCCAGACTGATTTTTTTTTTCTTTCGAGACTGGGCAGGTCTCGCTCTGTCACCCAGGCTGGAGTGTAGTGGCACAATCTTGGTTCAATGCAACCTCTGCCTCCAGGGCTCAAGTGATTCTCCCACCTCAGCCTCCTAAGTAGCTGAGACCACAAATGTGTGCCACCACCCCCAGCTAATTTTTGTATTCTTTTTTTTTTTTTTTTGTAGAGATGGGGTTTTGCCATGTTGCCCAGGCTAATCTCAACCTCCTGGGCTCAAGCAGTCCTCCTGTCTGGGCCTCCCACAGTGGTGGGATTACAGGCACGAGCCACTACATCTAGCCCCTGATTTCCTTAACACATCTCTGCTTCAAAGCCTGCTAAGTCCCACCGGTACATGCCCAGCAGACAGTGAGGGGACCTCTGGCTCACTCACCTGAGCAGCTGTCTTGGTCCTCGAAGGCAAGCCAACAGAGGAAGCAGCAGGAAATTGAGTGTGTGTGAGCTGGGCCGGGGTGTGGTAGGTGCGGATGTCGCCGTACCTGTATTCTTGAAACAGCTCCCCACTGGAGTGCACAATCTGCACCCCGTGGGTCACCACCACAGGGGGGGTTAGAGGCAGCCCCTGGAGTTGGTTGCTGGGGGTGACTGTGAGGATGCGGGCCTCACCATGAGGAGCAGGGGCAGGGGCGGGAACAGGGACAGGGACAGGGACGGGGACAGGGGTGGGGGTGGGGGCAGGGCTAGGGGTGGGGGCAGCTTTGGCATCTGGTGTCTTGGCAGCTTCCTTCCCAGGCTGTTGAGGGGCCTTGCTGGCTGGTGGCACCTTCACCACCCCATCCGTGGCCCTGGGCTGCTCACTGACTGCCGTCACGTGTGGATGCACCATGATCCTCACATCCCGCGGCACGGTATAGGGGTGCAGCCGGTATTCAGACTGCATGACCAGGACTTCTGATTGAACAGGGGCTGTGGCTCGAGCGACGGGAAGGTGGTAATGCACTTCCTCCTCAGGAGGGTGCTGGGAGGCCAGTGCAGGCACACCAGCTGGGGCTGGCTGTGGGGTGCTGGCACGCTGTGGGGCCCTGACCTCTATTTGCTGGGGCTGCAGCGGAGCCCGAGGAGAATGAAGCGCTTCTGGCCGGATGCTGTAGGTGATGCTGGGCAGCGTGGGAGTGTTCATTCTCACCTCGCCCTGGGAAAGGTGGCTCAGGGACACAGTCTGGGTGATGCTGTGGGGTGGCATGATGACAGACTGCTCTGGGTGGATGCTGGAGATGAACTGGGGCACTGGAATGCCTGCGGCCAGCATGACCGTGGCGTTGGTGGAGAGCGCAGTGGATGTGGTACTGCTGGGGTGGCTTGCCCTTGGGAATGGGGACGGCCCGGGTCCGCTGGGTCGAGGAGAATGAGCATCTAGCTTTGCAGCTGCCAAATGGGAGACAGTTCGATCTGCTGGGATGCTGGGCCCTGAGGGGATGTGGTTCACTTCTGTAGGCAGTTTGCTGGGCAGAGCAGGAGGGTGGTGGGGTGTGAGCGTGGACCCCAGGTTGGCCGGTTGAAGGACCTTGGTCTCGATTTTAAGGGTGACGGGGTCAGCAAGCTTTTTGTTCGTGGTGACAATGCTTGGGGTTAGGACCAGCTGGTTGTGAACCAGCACAGGGGGCGTGTTGATCCCCTGGGTGAGAACCTTCACCGTGCCTCCCTGAGTGACAGGTGTGGACACGGAGAGGTGAATGGGCTCAGGTTTCTCCAAGGATGGCCTATCGGCCTTCACAGATGAAATCACAGGAGAGGCGTTATATGTCTGGGCAGTCAGTACCAGTGTGGAGTGGGTGGCCACATTCGCATAGCCTGCAGGAGCTTGAGGGCCTTTGGATGGAGGCTGCGATGCTGTGACAGAATCGGGTTTGACTTGGGACTTAGACACTGACTGCTGAAATTCAATGTCCATTGCACTGGCTGGGGGGATCTGGCTGATCTTGGCACTGATCCGCTGTGGGCCTTCGGTCTTCTGCCCTGAATAACTCAAGAGCACAACCCCTTCGGAAGTGTTCACACGCAGCCCCGCCCCTGAGCCCGCATCTGCCGGACGATCGTCGATGACAGGCATGGATCCTGGGTGGAAACGACTGTTTTCATTAGCACTCGCTCTCTGTTTACACTTTGCTGATGGCGCAATCACTGCCCCTGCCATCGTCACCGTGCCTGTTGTGGCTGTCACACCACCAGATGCGGCAGTAACTGCACCCGCTGTGACGGTCACTGCATTTGCTGTGGCATTCACTGCACCTGCAGCGGCATTGACTGTGCCTGGGGCGGCGTTCACTGTGCCCACCGTGGCATTCACTGGAGTGGTGAGAACATTCACTGGCCCCGTAAGAACATTCACAGGCCCCTTCAGGACGTTCACAGGCCCAGCAGGGGTGCTTACCAAACTTTTCAGTGTGGTCACCGAGCCCTTCACAGGGCCTTTCAGGGCATTCACTGGAACCAAGGAGACATTCACCAAGCCAGTGAGGGCACTCACCAGGCCAGTGAGGGTTTGAGGAGCTGGTTTTGCCAGGGTTATCTTCTGTGAATTTTCTAGATCGATGCTGACAGGCATCCGGCTAATAACAGAAGTAATTTTGGGAGCAATGACTGGAGCCACCTTTTCCTTGTCAGCAGCGACCAGCACCTCCGAGGCTTGTGTCTCAGAGTTGTTAGTCACTGGAGCTGCTGTTTTTTCTTCTAAAGGCTTTTTAGATTCAACTGGAGGGGGCGGAGCCTCATGTAGGCAAGGGGCAGCACTGACAGGCTCTGCAATGGCCGTGGTGACACTTGTGGAAGTAACACCTGTGGCAGACACATACTTGGGGTCCATGAGAATCTTCCTCAGGGTGCTGGAGCTGGTGTCAATGTCAGAAGCCTTTGTGTCTGGGGGAAGAGCTGGAGACGGGGTGGATTGAGCCCGTGGCTCCTCCTGCCTTGTGATCCACTCTGTCACCTTAGTAGGCGGGCTCTGGTGTGGGATCCCCCCAGAGGCAACAGGAGGTGAGAGCTTTGCTGCAGTTACAGAAGGCAGTGTGGGTATGGGCACGCTTGGGTCACTGGGTGGGGTCACCGGGTCACTTTCAATTATGGAATGCACCCTGAACCTGGCTTGAGGCTCCTCATCCACTGGCACTGGCTGGGGTGTTGGGGGAAGGTCTGGGGGCACAGATACTTTGGTTGGAGTCCTTTCCTCAACACTGATTTCTTGGGACAAATTCTCTGTAGATGGAGTCTTGCCTGGGTTGGAAGTACATGACTGAGGAGGAGTGGAATGGGGTTTTTCACTCTGCTTTTCCTCCTGTGGGGCTTCAGTGTGCTGTACTGTCGTCTCCTCATTTGTAGCAGGACTCTTACCTTGAGCTTGGTCAGATTCAGGGACACGGCTCTCTACAGGAGCCACCACTTTCCTGTTTGTGTTCCGTTTGCGGCGTGATCGGGTTGTCTTCTGGCGCCCTTTCTCTTTCCGAACAAGAGCAACTTCCACTTCTTTAGACCCTTTGGCTTCCGGCACCAAGTGTGAGGTTTCACTGCTCTTTCCTCTGGATTCCTTGGTATCTGCTGGGCCTGCTGAGGGGCCAGGAGCATTGACTGGTAGCCCAGAAGATTCTGTAGCAGCCTCAGTTTCCAGGATGCCAGACACAGCCTCATTGGTCTCTATTCCTTCCTCAGAAGGCTGCAGCGCCTGTGCGTGGGGCTGCAGATCTGTCTGGGATTCTCCAGGATAAGGTGGAGGTGCTGCTGGGAAGTTTTCTGGCTCCCCAGAAATGTCATTGATGATGGAGCCGATGGCCGCAGCCAGCTCTGTTTCACTTGCTTGGTGTGCAGGCTTGTCCCTGTCCTCTGGGGCAAGGCCCTCTGGTGCATCTGCCTTGTAAGCAGCAGAGGCAGAGGCCTCAGCGAGCTTTGCGATGTGCTCCACAGCCTGTTCCAGCTCCATCTGCTTGGCCAACTGCGTCGCTTCTGAGGACGGCCCAGAGGCAGACACATCTTCTTTCTCTGGTTCCTTGTCTGGATCAACTAGATCACTTTTCAATTGGGATAACCCATCCTCCTTTTGGGGACTCTCACTTTTCTCTGGGGAGACGGCCACCACTCCGGCTTCCCTCTCCCCTGCCTGTGCTGCAGTTCCTCTGGGACTGACAGCAGCATCCACATTTTTCAGACTTGCAGATTTGTCCACCGCTAACCTGGAGTTGCGAGATCTTCCTCTCTTTGATTTGGAGTTTTTTTCAGGGGCTGGTTTTTTCTCTACAACTTCGATAGGGGCGGCTTCAGGAGGATTTTTATCTGTGCCGATGTCTTTTCTGTCACATTTCTGTTCACTTGCTGCCTCCTCCTCAGCAGCCTTGGGTTCTATGGGGCTCTCTCTCACGCCTACTTGGGGGCCCACCTCAGTGTTGGCCTCGGGACGTGCAGCATCCACCTTTGGTTCATTTTTTCCCTTTTTTCCTTGGGGGCCGCCACTGGCTGCAGTTTTCTGAGACCGTGGGGACCGCCATCCCTCAGGTGGCTTGAGTGTTTCTGCAGGTTCCTTGGCCTCCTCTTCCTCTTCATCAGCTCGCCGGCGTGTCTTTGGAGGCCTTCCCCTCCGAGGAGTGGTGGGAACCGCCACGGCCTCCTGAAGCTCTCGCTCCAATCTTTTTCTGGTCACTCTTGGTTGCTCAACAGGCTCTTTGACAGGAGAGCGGTTTTCGTGGTCACTCATGGTTGCGTAGACGCTCCTTACATTCCGGCGCCTTGTTCGGCTGAGAGGCAAACTTGGTTCGGGATTTTCAATGTCTACAGCAGAGTTTTTAGAAGCAGTCCTTGTAATCTTTTCTGCCTCCATCTTCAATTCCAAAAGCTTCTGTGCTTCTCCCCGAGGAGAACTGGACCGCTTGAGTTTTTCCCGGTCTATCCTCTCGCTCTTTCTTGTGACAGGCTTGTCCACGATACTCACTGCAGCTGCCTGAACGGGGGTCTTGGAACGCTTGCTTTTGTTTGGCTTTTTATCCTTGGCAGCAACTGGAGGATCAACCTCTAAATCTTCAGAAGCTGGGGGCTGAGTCTCAGGAGCAGCTTCGGCTTTCTGGTTTGCATCAGGTTCGGCATCAGCAGTGGCATCTGGCTTTTCAGCTTTTGGCTCAGTGGCTTCCTCGGACTTCTGAGCTGGTTTCGAAAGTAGCTGGGTATTGTCAGGCTCCGGATCTACATTGCTCTCCACCTGGGAAAACGAGGCCCCAGGAGTTGGAGGCTTGGCATCCATATAAGGCAGCTGGTCACCTGATGAACCTTCCTCAACACCCGCTGGTGTCACGGTAGCTTCTTTATTGGGATCTGTTCCTGGAGGCAGGTCTACTTGTTCCAGCTGTTCCACAGGGGCAGGAGCCGGTTCAGATGCAGGCTTTGCTTCTTCTGAGACAGTGGCTGGCTCCACAGTCTTCTCTTCTGTTACCAAAGGTGCCTCTGCCATTTTGTCACCAGTGGTCTTCTCTAGTGATGGGGCTGATTCTGGAGTTATGACTGTGACACTGGGAGGCCCAACGGAAGGTGGAGTTTTTAGTTCTGATTCTTTATTCTCAGAAGCAGATTCTGGGGTCTTAGGATGATTCTCTGTATCTTCCTGTTTCTCAACCTCTTTGGGTTTCTGGTCTTTTTCTTTTTCTTTCTGTTGCATTCGTGTGAGCTCCATAAATCTGCTATGGAACAGAACTACTGGCTCCTGAACGGAATCACTGGTGGTGTTTGCTCCCTCAGATGTCTGCCTCCCATAGATCCTACCAGAAATGAAGTCAGAGTCTTCCTCTTTTCTCTCTAGATGCTGCAATCGCTTGGAATCTTGTTCAAAGATTGAGCTGTGTAAAAAACGAGACGCAAACAATTCCTGCCTCTCTTGCTCTTCTTCTTTATGGTCCTCTTTCTTATCATCCATTTTCCCTTCTGAATCAGTCCTAATTTTCTTCTTTTTCATGTACCAGGATGGAATAGGTCTTGGGGCAGAGTCAACCTTTTCTTTATCTTTGTTGTTTCGAAAATTGGCAAATCGGGAGTCCCAATCAAGAAAAGACCAATTTTCTTCTCGAGATGAAGAGAGGGATTTAGCTCTTTCAAGCAAAGCTTTAGTGTCTGGTGTGATTGTCTTATCCAATGCAAAAGAGTAAAATTTGTTCCTTTCTAAAGAACTAGAGAGTCTTTCATCTCGCTCACGTAGCTTATCTTCTCTGTCCCTCAATAAAAAAGACAATCGAGAACTTTCATATAACGCAGAGGCTCTGGGTGAGTGGGATTTGTGTTCACCATCTTCGTCAGAATCAGAAGGCACCTCACCAGGTTCCAGATCTCGTACAGACCTTTTTCTAAGGCTGTCTCTCTTAATTATGCTGTTTGGGAAACTCACATCAAATCTGCCGGGATCTTGTTTCATTTGAGGGTCCCAACGATTTAGTTCATCTTCAGAATTCAAGACAGATAGTTTTATTTTGGCCATATCTGCCATCTGTTCTCTCCGGCTAGAATCATAAGGATTAAATTTTAAAGACTCTTCCCTGACTGTTATATTAGAATAGGGGAGGCCTTTTTCATCTACTTTAGGAGACCCTTTTACTGACATTAGCCTAGGGGAGCCTATGGGATCCTCATCTTCATGGAAGGAACCATGTCGAACACTGGGAGAACAACCAGTCCTTTCAGAATCTTCACTGATTTGGCGTGAACTTCTGTAATTCCTCTCTCTCTTGGTGCAAGTATCAAAATCGACATGATCCATCCTTTTCTTTTTGCTGGGAGGAGAGTCATCGGTGACATCTTGAGGGGGTTTGCCTACCTCGTGAACAAGGCTACGTCTTTCATATTCATCTACATCTTTTTTAGGACTGCCAAACTTCTCAGACTTGGCTATTTCCATCTCCATCTGCTGTTTCCTACGACTCTGCTCCATTTGTTTTCGGTAACTCTGCGTGTGATCGATGTCAATGCCAATTTTTTCTTCAGTATTTACTGAATGTGATTTCTCTTGGCCTGATTTACGTTCAGGTGTTTCATCACGAAGACTGCAATAGTTTTTCCTAACTTCTTCTCTCTCTGATCCTTGATCATCTAATAGCTGCAGCTGTTTGGGCTGTGGTTTTGAGGGAATGGTTTTTTTTGATTGGATTTCTTGATTTTCCACAGGTTCACCTGCTGGTTCTCCCAGTCTTGCTTGTAGGTCTGAGCTGGGCCTTGAGCCAGACCCAACAGAAATACTGGCAAGCTCCTGACAGTCTTTAGGGCTGGCAACAGTGTTAAGTCTATCCAGTTTGATTTTTTTAGATTCTCTCTTAAGAATTTCTTTCCTCACAGGCTTTCTTTCAGCCTCTCCTTCCCTCAGCAGAATGACCTCTCTAGAGGATGTGTCAGACTGCTTTTTTGAAAGCACACGAGCGTCTTCCATCTCTGGACTGCTTTTCTTGACCTCTGGTTTTTGCCTTTCCGCTTTCAAACTGGAATCTGCAAAGCGCCTTTTCCTTGCTTCCAGCTTCTCCAGATCCACAGCACTTACCCCATCCGCAGCTTGCTCAGGCTTGAGGTGCTTCCTGGCTTTAAGCCTGCCCTCCTTCTCCACCACTTCAACATGGCTTGAAAGCCCCTTTTCCTTTGGTACTTTGATTCTAACAGATTCCAGTTTAGACAAGTCAGATTTTACAGGCTCCGTCTGAGAGACCTGAAGTTTCTGGTCCAAGGCAGACTTCACAGCGTCATTATCAAGCTTGGCTTTCAGCTTTTCCACAGGAGTGTGGTCAATGACCTTTCCCTCTTTCTCTCTTACTCTAGTCAAAACCACGCAAGGCATGAGTTCTAGGCGGTTTTTCGCTATTCCTTCTTTGTCAGTTTTCTCTCTGCTCAGTTTATTAGAACTCCTTGGCTTTTCAGGGCTTTGTTCTCTCTCATTTTCTTGGTCAGTTTCTGAAGACTGAGAACTAGGGGAGTGAACCTTTCCTTTGCGCTTTTGCCTGTCAGTTTTGTCCTTTTCCACTTTTTCCTTCCGTATTAAGCGTCTCTCTCTCTCCACTCTCTCGGGATCAAAAGTTCGTTCTTTATCTGTCTTTTCATTTTTTGTATAGCGCTCCAAACGAGATTTGTCAAGTTTCTCATATCTTGGAGGGGAGAGTGAGCTACAGCTTCCACTCCGGTCTGAGGATCGGCTGTAAAGCCTCCTTTCAGAGTCACTGGGCAACCTCTCTGCCTGAGAGGGAGACGCTCCAGGACTCTGTGGACGTCGTAAGTGAACTGGACTTTGACTTCGTTCAATTGGCCTCCTCTCATGGTCTCTGTCCCGGTCAGACTCAAATCTTTCACGTTCTCTTTCTCGTTCCCTTTGCCTGTAACTATATTCCCGAATATCTTGTTCATAAGGATCATTCCTATAATCCCTGTATTCCCGAGGATCGTCGTAGTATCGTGATTCATAGTAGTCTCCTTGGTAAGTTTCCCAATCTGAATAAAACTCTCTCCCTCGAGCCGGATAGTCCCGCCTGGAATCCTCAGGGTAAGTGCCTGGAGTCCGAACACTCTCATAATATGTACGATCTTGGTTATAGTCATAGGATGCCCTTCGTTCCTCTCTGCCAAAAAATAACAAAGATATTAGTTCTTTTGTTTCCTCATCACTTACGTATGAAATCATATATATGAAATCAGAAACTCCTTCTAAAAAAAATCTTTGACATTATTTAATCATTTGTGAAGTGATTAGTTTGTAGTGGCTGTCCACTATTGCTTCAAGTAGCTACTTGGCACTTGAAATCTGGCTAAATTGAGAAGTGTATGTCAAATACACACTCAATTTTGCAAACCTAGTTTATAGAAAAAGAAAACCCGATGATTTATTTAAACTGATTATATGTTGAAACAATATTTTAGATATATTAAAGAAAATTAATTTCATCTTTTCCTTTTACTTTTTAGTATGGCTACTAGAAAATTTAAAATTATATATACAGAACTTGCAGAACTTGCATTATGCTTCTGTTGGACAGTGGTGGTTTTTTTCAATGTTTCTGGTAACTCTGGTGTGGTTGCAAAGCAGACACTAGTTATTGGACAATGTCCCCACACTCCTAAGTCTCCCATAAAACTACTATTCTACCAAAAGATATTCTTACCACAACTTGGAAATAAATGCACTGTTTAGAAAAAAAGATAAAAATTTTAACTAAAATCTTATCGTCTATGTGACATGTATGATACTGGTAACACTTCTATCTAATTCACAATTTTTTTTAAATAATACACTGGAACCTGGTTAAGCTCTCTGAACTCAGTCTCCTCACTCATAAAATGATGGCAGCTTTCCCTCATAAGGCTCTTTAAAAGATTAAGATAGCATCTGTAAAAACTTCCCTAGCATAATCCTAGGCAAACACTGGACCTCAGTAAATGTTGTCACTTTCCCCCGGCTGCCAGCTAACAAACCAGGGATGACTGCAAGCACCGTGAGAGAACTCTGGTTTTAAGGAACTTACCAAAGGTTTTCTCCCACAGGGACCTGTCTGCTGTATTCAAAGTAGGATTATATTTACACACAAGAACATATATGAAATTAGATACACCTGTATCAGAGGCCAATTACTTCCTTCACTCACTCATTCTCAGCAATGTTTGTTCTCTCACGTAGGTACAGCTGGCTCATTCCGGATAATATTACCATTAGCAGCTCACTGAAAGAACACTAGAACTTAAGCCCCATAAAGGCATCGGTTTTGTCTTCTTGGCCAAAATTCCTCTAGCTCTTACAACAGCACTTGGCTCATAGCAGACACTCAACTATTTGTTGAAAGAATGAACTTCAGAAAAATGTATCAAAGCTGCTACTAAATGATGTTCCAACTCCTTTGAACAGCAAATGAAGCATCTAGAGTGAACATTCCAACATTGGAAGCATCAATCACACATTTATTTATTTATTTATTCATTCATTCATTCACAGAGTCTCATTCTGTCTCCCAGACTGGAGTGCAGTGGCACAGTCTCAGCTCACTGCAACCTCCATCTCTGGGGTTCAAGCAATTCTCCCAGGTCACCACCACCACCGCCACCACCACCACCACCACCACCCTGAATAGCTGGGACTACAGGCATGTGCCACCACGCTTGGCTAATTTTTTTGCATTTTTAGTAGAGACAGGCTTCACTGTGTTGACCAGGCTGATCTCAAGCTCCTGACCTCTGGTGATCCGCCCACCTCAGTCCCCCAAAGTACTAGAATTATAGGCATGAGCCACCATGCCTAGCCTATTATATGTATTTACATTGAAATTTCTCAGTTCAAATGAAATATTTTATTATGTATCTATGATACCTGGTTTAACTGAAGATGATCCTTCCATAGCTCCATGGGAATCAGATTCCTTGTCTAAATACTGACCAGCCATCTCGTAAATATAACTGTTACTAGGCATGGAATTAGGCTAATTTAACTCATTACCAACCTAAATACATACTTTGAGGAAGTATTTCTCACATGAAGGTGAACCCACTGTATACCTTCAAAAATTATAAAGTGAATAAGACACCTAGAACAGTCATTAGTTTACTGCCCGTATTAATGGTAGGCTTGAGTCTTATTTTTAAACCACAGTGTCAAGATTTTTTTAATTAAGCAAACTAAAACTATTTCTAAAAATATGAGCCAGGTACGGTGGCTCTGGCCTATAATCCTAGCACTTTGGGAGGCCAAGGTGGGAGGACTGCTTGAGGCTAGGAGTTCAAGACTGGCAGGGTCAACACAGTGAAACCCCATCTCTTAAAAAAAAAATTTAATAAAAATTTAAAAAGTAATATGAAAAAAAGTTTTAGGAGGCAGAAATATATGTATAAGCATTCATGCTGGAGTACTGTTCAACTTAACAAATAGTTATTTTGCTGGGCCCCATGACCACAAAAAGAAATAAGCAGTCCTGCCCTCAAAGAATTCAACAACTTAAGCAGGGACAGCACAACTGGCACTTGGAGCATGAACAGGGACACTGAGGAACTCCAAAAAGGCTAGGAAAGAACACTGTTCACAAAACCACACAATATGCAAAGTACCATAAAAGTAGATGTCATTTGAATCACAATGTGACCCTGTAAATTCATCTTGAGAACCACTTTGGTAAAGGGTAAGCTCAATGTACTAGCAGGTAGGAACCTTGGGTTTATCCCCAGCCCAACCCCTTTGTGGCCTGTGACCTTGTTAGCAAAAGTTCCTTCCATAAAAAGGGGTTACCTGACAGAGTATTTGAGGGATCAAATGAAATACTAATTGGAAAATGACAAAGCCCTGTGCAAATACAGTTGTCATTTGCATTCCTGAGCTGAATTACCATTAGCGTTAAACATTTTTTTCATTCATGCATCAACTATTCAGTGAGATAACTTCCATTCTATGGAAGAGGCAAAGATCCTTAAGGTCTACTGCAAAGAATGCATTCCATAAGCACTGCCATCTGAAACCACACAGGGCAAACCTGGGTCACAGGTTTGAGGGTCCCACACTCTCCTGCTTCCTCATTAGGAGATAACCACCACTTGAGAGGGATAAATAACACAGAACAAAGCCAAAGCCAATTAGTTCATCACTAGAAAAAAATGAGTTTTGGCCAGGCACAGTGGCTCATGCCTGTAATCCTAGCACTCTGGGAGGCCGAGGTGGACAGATCACCTGAGGTAGGGAGTTTGAGACCAGCCTGACCAACATGGAGAAACCTGTCTCTACTAAAAATACAAAATTAGCTGGGCATGGTGGTGCATGTCTGTAATCCCAGCTACTTGGGAGGCTGAAGCAGGGGAATTGCTTGAACCTGGGAGGAGGAGGTTACGGTGAGCCGAGATCGTGCCATTGCACTCCAGCCTGGGCAACAGGGTGAAACTCTGTTTCAAAAAAAAAACATGAGTTTTAAATAGTAATATACAGAAAGTAACACCGACATTACATTATTCAACCCTCACAAAACTACTCTCTTAAAATATTTAATGTAAACAGAGGATTTTAATGAATTTTCTGTTTTAGGTGCAAGTAGGCCTCTGAGACACTTTCCACTCATGTATAGATAAGAATTCTTGTAAGCATTTACTGTATTAACAATGAATTCAAACTGCTACTTGGGGAGGCAGGATGGAGAACTTTTTTCTCTCCTAAGACACACACATTCTCTTGCACGTGGACACACAATCTTACGCTCACTCTCCTTCTTACACTTACACGACTGAGAAAACAGCCTATTAAGCCTGACTTTCTAGCTACAGGACTGTTGATCTTTGAAGCTTTGTGATTTGGATTCTGATGTGGTGAGAAACTATCAAAACCTGATTAAGTTTGAGCTTTAGAGATTTTGGCCGTAGAGAGCATTTTTCATTTAAAAAGCACCAAACAGGCCGGCGCAGTGGCTCACATCTGTAATCCCAGCACTTTGGGAGGCCAAGGCAGGCAGATCACGAGGTCAGGAGTTCAAGACCAGCCTGACCAATATGGTAAAGCCCCGTCTTTACTAAAAATACAAAAATTAGATGGGCATGGGGGCACATGCCTATAATCCCAGCTACTGAGGAGGCTGAGGCAGGAGAATCGCTTGAACCCAGGAGGTGGAAGTTGCAGTAAACCAAGATTGCACCACTGCACTCCAGCCTGGGCAACAGAGCGAGACTCCATCTCAAAAAAAAAAAGAAAGAAAAAAAAAAAAAAGCACCAAGTATTCAATGACTGTTGTACAATATTCCACTAAGAAATGAATTAATATATGTTAATATTTGTTATCAAAAATGAACTGGCAAGAAGAGGCAGTAGAAAGGGAATGTATTCAACAGGGCTTATGGCAGCACAACCCCGTCTTGACTCATCTTGCCATGGAGCCCTTTTCATACTCTGAACAAGTGTCTAAAGACATTTGTCACACAAAGCTTTTGTCTAACACATATGTATAGGAGTGGAGACCTAGTGGGAACATTCCAGGAGACTTAATCAGAGGCATGTCTGGAAAAACAGCTTGACTATATGGACCAAATTTCCATTTTCAAAAGTAATCAGCTATTGATGAATCTAGTGGCATTATCTTAAGATGTTTTGCTATATTTCAGTCTGTTCAGCAGAAAAAATATTAAATACTACATAACCATGACTGACAGCATTAACAAGGGGAAATCAGGTTTGCCCTGCACGTTGTCAAAGTCACCAGTTTACATATGTTTGGCTTATTGATTCACTCTGACTATTTAAGAGATTCAACTTTAAAATAAAGCTCTTGATATTCTTTTGGAAGTTGTTTTATTTTTAATTAAATGTATGAGCACATGTGCAGTGACAACCTGGATGTTGTCATTACTAAATATGTAGCCATTTAACAGTTTATAATGCACTCTAACATATATTAATAATTTACTTTAAAACTGTAAGCAGGATGATATGTATTTATGATTAATGGTACCTAAAGCTGGCCAGGTGCAATGGCTCACACCTGTAATCTCAGCACCTTAGGGAAGGCCAAGGCAGGCGGATCGCTTGAGCCCAGGAGTTCAAGACCAGCCCGGACAACATGGAGAAACCCCATCTCTACAAAAGTTAGTCCAGCGTGGTGGTGAGCATCTGTAGTCCCAGCTATTCAGGAAGCTGAAGTAGGAGGATCACTTGAGCCTGTGAGGCAGAGGCGCAGTAAGCCATGATAAACTGAGGTGGGAGGATCACTGAGCCTGTTAGAAAGAGGCTACAGTGAACCATGATCATGCCACTGCACTCCAGTCTGGGTGACAGAGTGAGACCCCGTCTCAAAAAAAAAAAGGGTACATAAAGTCATCACCTGGTAAAACAGTAACTCTTTCAAGCTCTAGGAGCATTCAATGAGAAATCCAGACAGGTTGCTCCAAACCCACAGGGGTCACCTGAAAACTGGATTCAAAAAATAAACCTGTGTTTACCTGTGAAGTGATAAAAGAGAAGCATTCTCTATTCAAGAAAATGAAAGTAGGGGTAAAGAGTGAAAAATAAAATTTAATGCCATCTTAAGTTTCTGTATTAAAACTCAAGCTACACTGATAGGTTTAAAATACATACCTTCTTTCAGCTAACATTTCATAAAAGTCTCTGATATCTTGACCAGATTTCTCCATGCAGTGATAAAAAGCCAGCTGACTTTCCCGATTTGCAAAATCCACCTTTAAAAAAGAAAAACATGTTTGATACAAGTTTCAAATGTTAATGAAAAAAAGTTATCAAATTTGAAAATTCTTCACAACATAGCCCTTCTGAGAAAATTTCAGGAAAGAGCAATGTATCTCAAGTAAAACAATCCTCACAACTGAAACTATGTTTTGTTAACCTGAAATTTCTCAAATTGTTTAAATTGTGATAAAGGAATGAAATTTAAAGTTTCAAACCCAATTGTGAAGGAGTGAAAAAAGCAAAATGGAAAACTGAAACGGCGATTAAGTAATCAGATCAACTAAATCCAGCAATCTCTGTTGCCAGAAGTACAGTTAGAATATAAAACAAAATATGAACATTTAAACTTTACTCACAGCTGGGCCTCAAAGTTATTAAAGCAAATGATACCCATCAGCTATCAATATCTCATTTAAATATCTATTAATATCAATATGGATAGATATTTTAAAATATCAATATTTTAAAAAATACTTCAACCTAACCATCATAGTTATTAAGTGCATAAATTTCTTAAAACTACCATGAACACAAGTTTTTAAATACATAAACCGGACATACAATTATGCTTTCAGTGGCTACCCACTCTTCCGGAGAGTAGGAAAGGAGAGAAAGATGTATCATTCAGGATGCTGGACTGATACTATGAGGCCCTGGGTGTCAGACACCCATGGGTGACTGTGGTCGAACCTGCGCTAAGAGTGTCTGTGTGAGCATCAGCACTAAGAGCACTGAGAGGCACATTTCTTTGAATGAGAGGATTTTTAGGGAAGGATCTGTGGCTTACGGTTTAAAGATGCTGTGCCCACAAGTAGCTAAGCATAAAATCGTAATATTCCCCTTGAACACTAATGATACAGAGTATGTGTCCTATAAACCACTCCCCTTGTTGGCAGTCTATAAAATGCTAGTTATTAAGGGAGTGAGGTTTTTTTTTGTTTGTTTGTTTTGTTTTTTTGAGATGGAGTCTCACTCTGTCACCTAGGCTGGAGTGGAATGGCATGATCTTGGCTCATTGCAACCTCTGCCTCCTGGGTTCAAGATATTATCCTGCCTCAACTTCCCAGGTGGCTGGGATTACAGGCATGTGCCACCACGCCTGGCTAATTTTTTTTGTAATTTTAGTAGAGAGGGGGTTTCACCATGTTCATGAGGCTGGTCTCAAACTCCTAACCTCAGGTGATCCACTCACTTCAGCCTCCCAAAAGGCTAGGATTACAGGCATGAGCCACCACACCCGGCTCAAGAGGGTGAGATTTAAATATAACTTTGTTTTGCTTCTGTTTAAAGTCATTCTCTACACCTTAATTTTATTCCCACCTTAATTTTATTCCCACCGATTTTCCTCCCTTTGGTCTCTTTTACAGCTGCTTGTGCATATTCAATTTCATTGTAGAGAACCAGGGCCATGCCTTTTAAGCGGTCAAACACCACCTGTAAAAAAGAAAAAACAAGTAAAAGTCTCATCCACTGTACTTAGTGTCAGTCCCAACAAAATCCTAAACCACAAGGACGCTGATGAGAAAAAACACATTTTTATATATTTTATTCTGTTTTTAAAAATGCGTAATGCATGCTGTAGTGAACACAATAAAATGTGCAGGAACTGTTTAGAATCATAGTGTGGCTTGAGAGACTATGCCTTTGTTTTTCTGTATTTTACTTTGTTTTCCATGTTGATTTATCACTATACTATATTTCAATAAAGCATTAGTCTTGTTTGGCTCAAAACAAAAAAGCAAAACCAACAACAACAATAAAAAAAAAACACCCTTGAAAGAAAGGAAAAAAGAACAACAATGAATTTCTGTGAATTCTGGCTACAAGTAGTACAACTGTCTTAAAGCTATGGATGTTTGCCCATGGGCAGTGGCTCACACCTGTAATCCCAGCACTCTGGGAGGCTGAGGCAGGCAGATCACCTGAGGTCAGAAGTTTGAGATCACCTTGACCAACATGGAGAAACCCTGTCTCTACTAGAAATACAAAATTAGCTGGGTGTGGTGGCACATGTCTATAATCCCAGCTGCTTGGGAGACCAAGGCAGGAAAATCGCTTGAACCCAGGACGCAGAGGTTTCACTGAGCTGAGATTGCATCATCGCACTCCAGCCAGGGCAACAAGAGCAAAACGCTATTTCCAAAAAAAAAAAAAAAAAACCCGTGGATTTTTTTTATACAGGCAATCTTTAAGATGTGTATTTCTAAACAACAAAAGCTACATTTAATGTATTGTCTGCCAGGCACAGTGGTTGTAATCCCAAGCACTTTAAGAGGCAGAGGTAGGTAAATAACTTGAGGTCAGGAGTTCGAGATCAGCCTGGCCAACATGGCAAAACCCCGTCTCTACAAAAAATACAGAAATTAGCCAGGCCAGGCATGGTGACATATGTCTATAATCCCAGCTATTCAGGAGGCTGAGGCAGGAGAATTGCGTGAACCCGGGAGGCAGAGGTTGCAGTGAGCCAAGATCCCGCCACTACACTCCAGCCTGGGTGACAGAGTGAGACTCTGTCTCGATTAATAAAAAAATAAAAAATAAAGTATTGTCAAGGATATAAAATATACCCACCATAGAGTAAACATAAATTTAAGGACGGGAAGCTTTACCTTCACACATTGAATTGGGTCTGGAGACCCTTTTCCTGTTGCTTATGGGTGTGTTACATAAAAAACATTGGTTAGATGAATATTCTGTTGTGTGAACTTCCTTCATTTAAAAAAGTCTAATTACATATTTAGTGTAAATGTGAATAATTATATAATCGGACTAATTTTAACATAAGATAAAATTATAAAAATCCATAAGCAACATTTCTATTTCATTCTATTTAACTATACTATGAGAATAGTTTCAAAATTGATCATCTTGGCTAGTTCAAAATAGTTTCTCAAAGTAACTTAAGGCAACCAGATGCAAATGTCCTTATTTGACCAAATCTTAGCAAACATAATTTTAATGTGCTGGTTATTAAATAAAAGAAATAGGCAATGCTAGCAATTGAGACTGAAAGGAGAGGATACCAAGACAAGGGAGTCAGAAGTCTGAACCACACACCAAAACCTCCCCCCTACCTTTACCACAGGCCCATATCGGCAGAAATGTCGTGTTAAATACTGATCCGACACATTCGAAGAAAGCCCATCTAGCCACACGCAGTTTGTAGGCATGCTCTTTCCAAAACCCAGCTGAACATAAAACACAAAATTTCTATTAGTAAAGTTCACAATTACTATTCAACTACAGAATTCTGAGAAAACTGGTTTTCTATAGTAATCTTTTCAAATCAACATCTCAAGTGGGAACCAACTGGTTAAAAATCAAATAGAAATTTATAAAAAAGCAATCCTGCCTGGCTAGTTGAGTATTAATCAGGTTATAGTATATAATAGAATGGGAATGCAAAGAAGTATATAACCTTTATGGTTATCTGTCTTACTGGGATCTTAATCAGGCATATGCAAAACAAAAAAAAATTCAAATCTTAAAAATCAAAGCAAATCATAACATCACAGTAATTTATGCAAATTCATTTACCTTGAGGCGATTATTTCCAAGATATTCCCCATCCATCTTCTTAATAGCTTTACAAACACTAGCAATATCACAGTATTGCAGGAACGCATACTGAGGAACTCCATTCACTTTCTTAATATCAATATCCTGAAAAAGCCAATCAATACCACTTAGTAATATGCCCCAGAAAATAAATTAGAATGAACCAAGTCCATATAGGGTATTTATTTCTCAAAAAAGTTATGTTACCAATCATCATTTACTTAGTTAAAAAATTGTACATCTTAATACAACTGTAAGGTAGAAGTCTGCTATAAAATATACAGCATTTGTTGTCACAGAACAAATCCTTCCTATGTGAAGCTCTTGGCAGAGGAACAACAGCATTGCAATTCAAAATTTAAAATCCATAATAACAGCATTAAGAAAAACATGATAATAAAGAAATGGCAGGCTATGTAATGAAATCCTAAGAAATAATTCCCTTCTGCAATATCTAAAATTGTTATCAGGGGTCAGGCCATTTAAAATATGATGCCTGGCTAGGCATAGTGGCTCACTCATGTAATCCTGGCACTTTGGGAGGCAGAGGCAGGCAGATCACTTGAGGTCAGGAGTTTGACACCAGCCTGACCAACGACATGGTGAAACCTTGTCTCTACTAAAAGTACAAAAATTAGCCAGGCATGGCGGCACATCCCGGTAATCCCAACTATTTGGAAGACTGAGGCAGGAGAATTGCTTCGACCTGGGAGACAGAGGTTGTAGTGAGCCAAGATCGCACCACTGCAATCCAGCCTGGGTGACAAAAGTAAAACTCCATCTCAAAAAATAAAATAAAATATGATTAAGAATCATAAATCAAGTTTTCAGAAAGCATTTTAAAACATGCAATCCTGAATGAAATGACTCATTCCATCAGTATATCCAACTGAACCAAGGCTGGTGATTGATAAGTGTGGTAATAATCTCTCACATGCAGAATGGATGGATATATAAACACCTGAACTCCTTTGTGAAGATCCACCGACCACAGTTCTTGGATAAAAGAAACACTTATAAAGGAAGCTCCCATGTCTTTGGAATGCATAAAGCCTATAGTTGTGTCTGACACTCCCATGCCTACTCAGAGGAGGCAGTGAAAAAACCTGGCTTAGACATGGAAAATGGTCCAGAGAAATGAGAGAGTTAGCTGGCAAAATCTGTATGTAAACAACAATGACCTGGGCCATATATTGCAGAATAAGTATTATGATTATATAAATGTCTTTAAGGGTTACAAGCCAATAATCAAGACTTGAAACAGTAACATATTTAAAGAGCTGTTTGATGGGTACTTTAAAAAGTAATAATCTGAAAGAGTACAATGGCTCACATCTGTAATCCCAGCACTTTGGGAGTCCACGACAGGAGGATCATTAAGGCCAGGAGTTCAAGATCAGCCTGGGCAACACAGCAAGACCCTCTTCTGTATGAAAAATTTAAAAATTACGGGCATGGTGGTACATGCCTGTAGTCCCAGCTACTCAAGAGGCTGAGGCAGGATCCTTTGAGCCCAGGAATTCGAGGCTGCAGTGAGCTATGATCGTACCACTGCACTCCAGCCTAAGTGACAGGGAGACTTTTCTCTAAAAAAATAAATAAAAATTAAACAATCTGTACTTAAAATTCCTCAAAATAATAGTAAATGGGAGCTAACTTTTAATTATGCAGAATGTAAAAACCCAGGATAATTCCATTTAAGAGAAATGATCTCCTAAGAATACTGGTGAGCAGATTCATTGAAAAGGTTCTTCTGGCTACTGGAACATCTGTTATCAATAAGCAACAGGCTGTTTTCCCAGAGTTTGTGGGTTATTTAAAATAGTGACACTCAGCCAGGCACGGAGGCTCACGCCTGTAATCCCAGTACTTTGGGAGGCAGAGGTGGGTGGATAACCTGAGGTCAGGAGTTCAAGACCAGCCTGGCTAACATGGTGAAACCCCGTTTCTACTAAAAATACAAAAAAATTAACCAGGCGTGATAACATGCACCCATAATCCCAGCTACTCGGAAGGCTGAGGCAGGAGAAAACACTTGAACCTGGGAGGCGGAGGTTGCAGTGAGCCAAGATCACGCCATTGCACTCCAGCTTGGGCAACAAGAGCAAAACTCCATCTCAAAAAAAAAAAAAAAAAAAAAGTGACACTCAGGGCTGGGCACAGTGGCTCATGCCTATAATCCCAGCATTTTGGGAGGCCGAGGCAGGTGAATCACTTGAGCTCGGGAGTTCGTGACCAGCCTGGGCAACACAGTAAAACCCCCATCTCCACAAAAAGTACAAAAATTATCCAGGTGTGGTGACTGGCACCTGTAGTTCCAGCTATCTGGGAAGCTGAGATGGGAGAATCACTTGAACCTGAGAGGCAGGGGTTGAAGTGAGCCAGGATCTTGCCAATGCACTCCAGCCTGGGCGACAGAGCAAGACCTTCTCTCAAAAATAAATAAAATAAAATAAAATAAATGATCAGCAAATACTAACATTGATGAGATTATGGTTTCAAATAGTATACTGACATGTCTACCTTATTGAGAACCACAACCCTTTTTTTTTTTTTTTTTTTTTTTTGAGATGGAGTTTCCCTCTTGTTACCCACGCTGGAGTGCAGTGGCACAATCTCGGCTCACCACAACCTCTGCCTCCTGGGTTCAAGCAATTCTCCTGCCTCAGCCTCTCGAGTAGCTGGGACTACAGGCGTGCGCCACCATGCCCAGTTAATTTTTGTATTTTTAGTAGAGATGGGGTTTCACCATGTTGACCAGGATGGTCTCGATCTCTTGACCTCGTGATCCACCCGCCTCGGCCTCCCAAAGTGCTGGGATTATAGGCGTAAGCCACCGCGCCCGGCCTAAGAACCACAACTCTTAAAACACAATAATCATTACATTTTTAGTAAACCTGGTGATAAGAATGTATCCATTTGCCCAGCTACAGCTTTTTACACTGCTCCGAAGTCTAAAGTACTAGCTATCTTCATATAAAAGTAGGTCTGAAAGTTTTATCAATTCACAGACCTATGAATACCAACACCAAATTAAATAACAGATAACTGGCTAGGTGTGGTAGTTCACGGCTGTAATCCCAGCACTCTGGGAGATTGAGGTGGGTGGATCACCTGAGGTCAGGAATTCAAGACCAGCCTGACCAACATTGTGAAACCACATCTCTATTAAAAATACAAAATTAGCTGGACATGGTGGCACATGCCTGTAAAACCAGCTATTTGGGAGGCTGAGGCAGGATAATCGCTTGAAATAGAGAGGCAGAAGTTGCAGTGAGCCGAGATCACGCCATTGCACTCCAGCCTGGGGAACAAGAGCGAAACTCCAACACAAACAAATAACAGATAACTGTCTAAAGACAAAAGAAGCTGGAGCCCAGATAGATAACTGAATTCCACATCACCCATCTAGGCAGGCAGTAGGACTGCAATTAGAGTATGGTACTCCCTCAAAACTAAAAGAATCTGACAAATCAAAATAATTGAAAATGAGGTTATCCATTTCTCTATCAGTTAGGCAGGATGTTGGGGGTGAGGTTGACATACCTATCAAAGACAATAACTAACCACCAGGGCTTCCAGTGCTTTGACAAAACCTCAGATGTGTGCCTTTCTGGCCAAGCATCTGTAATATCATATTGTTGGAGCATTAATTGGAGGTTGCAGTTCTCTGAGTTTGCTGTGGCTAAACCAGGAAAGAAGGCATGTGCAGATTTCTACAGAAGTTACCTATGTAAGATTTTGAGGAGATGAGAAAGGCTGGTATCTTTCAGGGTACAAAGTGATTTTGGAATATAAAGAATTTTGCCAGACGCAGTGAGTCACGCCTGTAATCCCAGCACTTTGGGAGGCCAAGGCGGGTGGATCACAAGCTCAGGTGTTTGAGACCACCTTGGCCAATATGGTGAAACCCCGTCTCTACTGAAAGTACAAAAATTAGCCGAGTGTGGTTGTGGGTGTCTGTAGTCCCCGCTACTCGGGAGGTTGAGGCAGGAGAATTGCTTGAACCCAGGAGGGGGAGGTTGCAGTGAGCCAAGATCGAGCCACTGCACTCCAGCCTACGCAACAAGAGTAAAACTCTGTCTAAAACAATAATAATAGTATATCCCCAAACTATAAAGCTGTGACCAAAATATTTTCATTTTAAACTTACTCAAATTTTGAGTCATAAAGGAACAGAAAACTTCTTGTACCTCTTAATCTAACAATTACTTGCATAATATAAAAAGTGATTCAAATTAAAACTTCCTAACAGAATTGAACTGCTAGCACACGACATCCATGTTCTGGTAATCCCCAAAATATTTCTGATGTGCATTGTGATCACAAAACAATCGTGCACTAATTTACTCTTTATTTTTTGAGACAGGGTCTCACTCCGTCACCCAGGCTGGAGTGCAGTGGTGTGATCTCGGCTCACTGCAGCCTCTGCTTCCTGGGCTCACCTGATTCTCCACCCTCAGCCTCCTGAGTAGCTGGGACTACAGGAGCAAGCACCAAAGCCCAGCTAATTTTCCTATTTTTTTAAGAGACAGGGTTTCACTATGTTGCCCAGGCTAGTCTCAAACTTCTGAGCTCAAAGTGATCTACTCACCTCAGCCTCCCAAAGTGCTGGGATCATAGGCATGAGCATGAGCTCAGCCTGCTGCTGCTTTTTTACAAACATTTCTCTCTTCCAGATTTTCCTTTCAACCCACAGGACTAGAGATTAAAATAGAACTCAAAGAACAAAGAAAGATAAAAATGAGTAAGCAGCAGCCTGGGCAACATGGTGAAACACCATCTCTACAAAAAACACAAAAATTAGCTGGGCATGGTGACACACGTCTATAGTCCCAGCTCACTCAGGAGACTGAGAGATGGGAGGATTGCTTGAGCCCAGGAGGTTGAGGCTTTAGTGAGTCGTGATCATGCCACTGCACTCCAGGCTGGGCAACAGAGTGATACTCTTTCTCAAAAAAAAAGAAAATATATGTGTGTAAACAAAAGACATATATTAGATTTTCACATATATATAGAACCATACCCAATGGGTTTCTCTGGATTATCTTTTAGCAAGAGCTAAAGCACAGCAATATTCATTACACCACTAAATAGCACCTTTCCAAATATAATCTGTACTATATGCTTCATGTGTCATGACAAAGATCTAAAATTGTTTTCATAGTAAAAGCAACATACCACAATTTCTCCAAAGCGCTGGAAGATGTTGCGAAGGTCATGGTAAGTGGTGGTTTTTTCAAGGTTGCCAATAAAGAGAGTTCTTGTTGCTTTGGGGTGAAATTCATCTATCCTTTCATCCAAGGGGCGAAATTCATTTTCACTTTCTGTTTCTGTAAGTGCAACGGGGGCAGAGTAAAAAGAAAAGAGAGTATTTTAATGCATATTTGTATATCATGGGAAAATCTACATTTAAAAAACAAAATTTCTGAAATAATGGGTTTGAATACTCACATAAACTAAAATATTATAAACACCTTCAGAAATAGCCACCCCTTATTGAACTCGAAAGCAAAAAAGGAATACAAAGGCTAAAGAAACACTTCAAAACAAAATTAAGGCTAAAGTAACACTTTGTTTAACGTTTACAATTAAAAAATAAATTGATTTAAATCTGCTAAATTAGCTGGGAGTGGTGGCTCATGCCTGTAATTCTAGCACTTTAAGAGGCCAAGGTAGGAGGATCACCTGAGCCCAGAAGTTTGAGACTAACCTAGGCAACATGTAGAAACCCCATCTCTACCAAAGACTACAAAAGATAGGCCAGATATGGTGGCGCACGCCTGTATTCCCAGCTACTCAGGAGGCTGAGGTGGGAGAACAGCATGAGCACAGGAAGTTGAGGCTGCAGTGAGCTGTGATCATGCCACTGCACTCCAGCCTGGGTAATGGAAGTGAGAACCTGCCTCCAAAAAATAAAATAAATACGTATCTTTGCTAAGGTGATTTGTTGTTGTTTCTGGGACAGAGTGTAGGTCTGCCACCCAGATTGGAGTGTACTGGCACAATCATGGCTCACTGGAACCTTGATTCTCACTGGAACCTCCCAGGCTTAAGCAACCCTCCCACCTCAGCCTTCTAAGTAGCTGAGACCACTAGCGAATGCAACCATGCCTAGCTAGTTTCCCCTGCTACCCTGCAGAAATAAGGCCTCACTTTGTTGCCCAGGCTGATCTCTGGGCTCAAGCAATCCTCCTGCCTCAGTTCCCCAAAGTGCTGGGATTACACTGCACCTGGCTTGATTTATTTTGCAAAAGTGGTAATTAATTAATTGAGCCTAATCTTAGTTTCCAAAATTATGTAGCAGGCTCTCAATTTGGAGTATAAAACTACACTCTGAAATAGACATAAAAACTCAGCTGAAAATAGTTCCAGCTTCATTGTTTAATTTCATTTACTTTTCAGCATTTTGTAAGATATTTAGCATTTCGCCCCTCTCATACTAAAAAATCAACTGTCTAAATGCGGAAATTTTAGATATAAAAGTTACTATGAAAACTAATTAAAGCAATATTTTAAAAATATCTTTTGATATTCCATGGTACCCAATGACAAATAGAGGTTAAATGATTCCTATGATTTTCTTCTTTTTTTTTTTTTTTTTTTTTTTTTTGAGACAGTCACTCTTGTTGCCCAGGCTGGAGTGCAGTGCCGTGATCTTGGCTCACTGCAACCTCTGCCTCCTGGGTTCAAGTGATTCTCCTGCCTCAGCCTCCAGGGTAGCTGGGATTATAGACGCCCGCCACCACACCCAGCAAATTTTTTGTATTTTTAGTAGAGAAGGGTTTTGCCATTTTGGATAGGCTGGGTCTCAAACAGCATGAGACCCTAAGTGCTTCATTCAATCCCAAAGTGCTGGGATTACAGGTGTGAGCCATGCACCCAGCCTCTGTTTTTTATGATCAAAAGCCCTGGCTTAATCTCTAATTCAGTCATATCCTTTCTCTGAAGCTCCGTTTATTAACTTGGTCTAGGGAAGGAACCCTAAAGGTTTTGTTGATAACAATTACAGGAAAGTACTGTGCGTTTTTTTCTCTTAATGTACAACAAAGGCACCCAAAAAATTAATATTTAATCAACTTTACTGAAACATAGCATTTAGGGCCAGCCACTGAACATTACTGATAATGTCAATGACACTGGTTTTTAGTTTTTTGTTTTTGAGACAGTCTCTCGCACTGTCGCCAAGACTGGAATGCAGTGGTAGGATCTCAGCTCCCTATAACCTCCGCCTCCCAGGTTCAAGCGACTCTCCTGCTTCAGCCTCCCAAGTAGCTGGGATTACAGGTGTTCACTACCACGCCCAGCTAATTTTTTGTATTTTTAGTAGAGACAGGGTTTCACTATGTTGGCCAGGCTGGTCTCGAATGCCTGACCTGGTGATCTACCTGTCTCAGCCTTCCAAAGTGCTGGGATTACAGGCGTGAGCCACTGTGCCTGGCAGACACTGCTATTTTTAAAAACTCAACTTCAGGGACCTAGAGTTAAGTCAGAATGCATCTCACTTCTGATTCCAGGCTCTAATGGTAACTCAACTAATCTTGTCACTTTCATCAGACTATGTACTTTCACAAACTCAGGTGGACCCAGAAACTGCCCAGGGCCCATAATAGCTATCTCCATATATTCTGCATATCTCAAAGGAGTGTGTATCATTTTAAGCTCAGCTTGGTCTTAATTTAAATGTAGGCAGACATTTAAGAATATTTCAAAAAATCCAAATAGAATCTTGAGGTTTGTGCTCTGAAAGGGAGAATCACAAAGGGAAAGTATTATTTGCAACTATTAAAATCTCTAATGGCTTCATTTCCACCAAATGGCCTGGTACATTTTCTGTCTCCTCCTCCATCCCCTACACTGGAGACAGGGTCTTGCTCTGTTGCCCAGCCTAGAGTGAGGTGGTGGGATCATAGCTCACTGCAGCCTCAAACTCCTGGGCTTAAGCAATCCTCCCACCTCAGCCTCCCAAGTAACTGGGACTACAAGGCCTGGCTGATTTTTTATTTTTTGTAGAGATGGGGTCTCATTTTGTTGCCCAGGCTCATCGCAAACCCCTGGGCTCAAGGGATCCTCCTGCCTTGGCTTCCCAAAGTGTTTGCAGGCATGAGCTTGGCCAGGCACAGCGGCTTATGCCAATAATCCTGCCACTTTGGGAAGCCAAGGCAGGAGGATCCCTTGAGCCCAGGAGGTCAAGGTTTTGGTAAGCCATGATTACGCCACTGCACTCCAGGCTGGGTGACAGAGTGAGACTCTGTTTCCAATCAATCAATCAATCGATTAATCAAGGTGTGAGCCACTATAGCCAGCAGATTTTCAAAATCAGAAATTCAGTTACCAAAAAAAAAAAAAAAAAGTAAGTTTTCCACATGTAGTTCACTTAACTTCACAACCAGTCAAAGTCTTAATGCCTACACATCTTTGAAAAAAACTTCTTGAACTTGTAATTTCATGTGGGAAAAGAAACTGTAGATGCCACCAAAGGGTCTGGTCTATATGCAAAGTTGCTGGAGTGCAATGGTGCAATCTCGGCTCACCTCAACCTCCGCCTCCTGGGTTCAAGCAATTCTTCTGCCTCAGCCTTCCGAGTAGCTGGGACTACAGGCGTGCGCCACCATCCCCAGCTAATTTTTGTATTTTTAGTAGAGATGGGGTTTCACCATGTTGACCAGGATGGTCTCGATCTCTTGACCTCATGATACACCCACCTCGGCCTCCCAAAGTGCTGGGATTATAGGCGTGAGGCACTGCGCCCGGTCTTGGATTTGAATATTTGAAAATAATCCTTGACCTAAGCAATCAGCTCAATACATTTCAATATTTCATAATTTAACCATCTGACAGCAAAATTCCAACCAAGTCTCCACTGCTTTCACATATCCCATTTAACTAGTATTTAATGTTGTCCAATCTGGGAAAAGTACCTTTAGCTTTCCTGTGTTTGAACCAAACTTCTCAAAATCTTCACTGGCAAGTAGGTAAAGCCTATTTCCTAGGTGCTAAATAACTAGGTTAAAAGCTTTTTACAGGCCGGGCGCGGTGGCTCAAGCCTGTAATCCCAGCACTTTGGGAGGCCGAGGCGGGTGGATCATGAGGTCAAGAGATCGAGACCATCCTGGTCTACGTGGTGAAACCCCGTCTCTACTAAAAATACAAAAAATTAGCTGGGCATGGTGGCGTGTGCCTGTAATCCCAGCTACTCAGGAGGCTGAGGCAGGAGAATTGCCTGAACCCAGGAGACGGAGGTTGCGGTGAGCCGAGATCGCGCCATTGCACTCCAGCCTGGGTAACAAGAGCAAAACTCCGTCTCAAAAAAAAAAAGCTTTTTACAGTAAAAATCTCAACTAGTCCTACCATCTAGAAATAAAAGTTACCTAATGAATGCCCCGGATGAGATCTTCCTTACTTAATAATTATGATTGGCTCTAGAAATGTATATAGATTATATGACATTCTAAATGTTTCTCAAGCAGTTCTGATCTGTTCCAAATGCGTTAAAGAACTCCTGGAGTTGCTCTTAGCTTAGTAAAATTTAGGGCAGTCCATCTCAAACCTGATAGAAGAAGGACTGTGAAGGCATAATCTATTATCCTTTGAAAAGATAATATTCCTGGTTCCCAAGTTTTCTCAGCTTTTTAAACAACAAAAAAGAAAAGATAATATTCCTTTGAACTGTTATGTTTCATCACAACATCATAGAGTGACTATTTTGCAGTGGTCACTCTAACAATTCTATGCCAGTTTTACTATACAAATAACACATTTGTACATCCTCATCAGGGGAACTAAATTTTTTTCTTTCTAATTGTCTAATAAACGAATATTCCAAGAATATTCATATTACCCTATAATAAGCCATGTTTACCCAATAAATTCCACTTAAAGTCTAAAAGTTCAATTGTCCCAGCTTTATAAGGTGACAATAAAATTTTAATGTTTCGCCGGGCGCGGTGGCTCAAGCCTGTAATCCCAGCACTTTGGGAGGCTGAGGCGGGTGGATCACGAGGTCAAGAGATCAAGACCATCCTGGTCAACATGGTGAAACCCCGTCTCTACTAAAAATACAAAAAATTAGCTGGGCATGGTGGCGCGTGCCTGTAATCCCAGCTACTCAGGATGCTGAGGCAGGAGAATTGCCTGAACCCAGGAGGCGGAGGTTGCGGTGAGCCGAGATTGCGCCATTGCACTCCAGCCTGGGTAACAACAGTGAAACTCTGTCTCAAAAAAACAAAAACAAAAACAAAAAAAAAAAAAAAAAAAATTTAATGTTTCTATTGATTCCCTTACAAATTTACTCACAAGTTCTCTTAAATCAGGGATTCCCAAACTTAAGTGTATAAATTCTGAATCAGTAAGCTGGGGTAGGGTCAAAGAGTCTGAATTTTTAAACAAGTACTGCAGGTGGTCCTAAAATAGGAGAAATACTGATATAAGCCATGTGTGAGATTTCCTGTGTTACAACAGGTTCCACAGGTAGGTTCAAGATAATAAAACGTTCCCCGGAAATTCTCAGTGGGTCGCACCTGTAAGACTTATTTCTGTTACTCTGTCTTAAAGGTCACGCAAGCTGGAATAACAGACTCAATTCGTATTGGGCATAATAGAAATAAAACTAGTCCAACAAGTCCTTCAAATCAATATTAAGAGGTAGTTTGCTTTCTTTTTTTTTTTTTTTTTTTTTTTTTTAAGATAAGAGTCTCACTCTGTCATCTAGGCTGGAGTGCAATGGCACAATCTCAGCTCACTACAATCTCTACCTCCTGGGTTCGTATGATTCTCCTGCCTCAGCCTCCCAAGTAGCTGGGATTACAGGCGTGTGCCACTACACCCAGCTAATTTTTGTATTTTCAGTAGAGACAGGGTTTCACCATGTTGGCCAGCTGGTCTTGAACTCCTGATCTCAGGTGATCTGCCCATCTCAGCCTCCCAAAGTGCTGAGATTATAGGCATGAGCCACCCTGCCCGGCTGGAAGTAGTTCTCTTTCTAATTCAAGATAATTCTGTTGTCACACTCCTAGGAACTACCTCCTAATTTTGATAAATTCAATTCTTTGGGAAGGCTGGACTCAGTAACGGTCTATAGTTCTACCTTTCAGACTCTTAACAGTCAGCAATTCTCCATTATAGCTACAGATAAATCTATCCTTCCTAACCAAAACAATGTCTTTTGTTTTTGTTTGTTTGTTTGTTTTGAGATGCAGTTTTGCTCTTGTTGCCCAGGCTAGAGTGCAATGTTGGGATCTCAGCTCACTATAACCTCCATCTCCCAGGTTCAAGCAATTCTCCTGCCTCAGCCTCCTGAGTAGCTGGGACTACAGGCATGCGTGACCACGCCTGGCTAATTTTGTATTTTTAGTAGACATGGGGTTTCTCCATGTTGGTCAGATTGGTGTCGAACTCCCAGCCTCAGGTGATCCGTCCGCCTTGGCCTCCCACAGTGTTGGTATTACAGGCATGTGCCACCGTGCCCAGCAAAACAGTGCTTTTTATTAAGTTGAACAATAAATAGAATCATCTTTTTAAATAGAAGACAATGGAAATGTCAATAAAGCCAAAATAGTGCCCACATTCAGGATCATATGCTGCCCTCTTATGCAACACAGTGTGTATGATGTGTAACTCAAACTTGGCTTGCATGAGTCTTACCTGGCCCTATCCATGCTGTTACTTCAATCTGCATGCCAAAGAAAAGTTTTCCTTTTGATGCAGTCAATGCTTTTTCTTGGTCCTCTTGCTGTCGAAAGAATACCAGACCATACCTTTCTTCTGAAGCTCCATGTATCTGCACTGAAGTTACTTTTCCAAATTTCTTAAATTCATGGAAAAGGCCATCTTTAAGGCTTGTATCTAAATTCCCAAACAAAACCAAGTCATTAGTTCTTCTAATTTAATTACAACTCAATAAGCAACCTACCAAATCTTTAGCCCAGTTTTCTTATTGTTTTGTTCATGTCAGATAGGTAATATGCCAATTGTCATAACAAGGCCTGAGGGAGGCACATCTCACATGGCGTAAAAACCCAATCATCATGTTTATGAACCACAAAAGCATCTAGCTTGGTTTTTGACCTAAGTTTTATGTCATTAAAACATTACTTTTTCAAACAAAAAAGCCCCAAAAAGACATATTGGAGATTATTGTACAATTCTGAAAACAAACTGTTAGATTATAGTATTGGTTATTTGTTAGGTAATAATGATGCTATGCAGAAAAATGTCCTCATATATTATAGATATATACATAAATATACATCTGTAAGCAGGTATGAAATAAAACATCAAGGATTCACTTTAAAGGTGGAAAGAAAAAAACTGTAGCAGAGCAGGAAGACAGGAAACAGATAAAGCAAAAATGACAAAATGATTTCTCAATGTTGGATATTGTATAAGGGAAATTCATTTTGCTATTCCTTCTACTTTGGCATATGTTTCATAAAACTTTACATATATGTTTCTAATTAAATAAAAGTGTCAGAGACTTGAAATGTTAAAGCATCTATCTTTCCAAGGATTATCTCAATGATAAAACTGTGTGAGAAGTGTCATGCAGCATGCTAAGCAATTTTAATATCTTTTACAGACGAATCATACCATCTGGGGGGCTTGTGTTAGTTTGCTTTATTAGAAATACAAAAGGTACACAGAAAGGCAAGCCAATAAACTCCCTTGTCCATTTCTAAATTACCAAGAGTTCTAAATAAAAAGTCCATCAACACTGGTGTCTCAATAACCCTATTCACAAACCTAATACCTAAGTTTTATAGGCTATTTTAATAAATAATTTAAGCAATCACTGAAATACACTTAGCTAAGAAATACTTAATTTTGTCTTTGTTAGCATGACTATCTATTAACAGTTTTAACTTGTTTACACGTTCAACATGCCTAATGTAGGAGTAATAGTATATTATGATCAGCCGTCAATTAAAAATATTTCAAGGAGAGACCACAGAATAGCTTAAACAGCCTTTTCCATTATTCATGGCTTTCCTCATTTAAAATGTTAATATTCTGAAATGTGTTTTCTATAATTTTATGCCCAAAGTTATTTCAATGTAATGCAGTATCATACCTCATTCCTCAGTAGTAGCACAGAGGAAAGAACATTCACACAAAATCTTACCTGTAGAGCGTACTGGAAGATTCTGGACCTTGATCCCAAAACTTTTACGGGGCTCATCTTTTTCCAGAGATGAAAGCAACTGGGAAGTGGGTGCTGGGACTGCTGCAGACTGAACTGATCGAGCTGGAGAATCATCACTTGAGCTACTGCTGGAATCACTGCTGCAAAAAGGCAACAACAACAAACTTTAATGAAAAGACACACAGAAAATGAGTAGCATTATACAACTTCTTAAAATAACCAACAAGTCTAAGCTTTCGGACTGGAATTTCTGGAGGCCCTGCATTCTACATATCTATCTCATGCTCTACCTTTGGAGGTGTCAGAAGACGATAAAAATGCAGGAGCACAAAAGTATAATCTTCATTTACCACCGTGTACCACCAATATGAGTGTTGCATTCTATTAATAACTTGAACAATTTTTTTCAAATGAAGTAAGACTAGTGAATGCAATTCACTTAGTGTAATAATAACAATAGCGCATATATGGGATTTGGATTCAGAGGTCTAGATTCAAATCTTGGATCAGACATATAGCATGTGTCCTTGGACAAATCACTTAACATGTTTGAAACGGGTTTCCTATCACAATGTTATGCTCAAAGTTACTGCATGGAACACAGGACTCTCAGCCAACATAATAAAACTAAATGAAAATAGTATTTCTAAAATTTCACCATACCCAATGTCCTCCAATATCAAACGTGTAAAATGAAAATAATCATAATAGTACCTATAACCCAGGGTTAAGAATTAAATAAAATAGGCCGGGCGCAGTGGGTAATCCCAGCATTTTGGGAGGCCGAGGCAGGCAAATAACAAGGTCAAGAAATTGAGACCAACATGGCCAACATGGTGAAACCCCGTCTCTACTAAAAATGTAAAAATTAGCTGGGCATGGTGGCTCATGCCTGTAGACCCAGCTACTTGGGAGGCTGAGGCAGGAGAATTGCTTCAACCCGGGAGGCGGAGGTTGCAGTGACCTGAGACTGCGCCACCGCACTCCAGCCTGGCCACAGAGCAAGGCTCCATCTTAAAAAAAGACAAAAAAGAAATAAAACAACGCACAAGTTTAGAAAGTTTGAAATATGACAGATATCTAATAAGTAAAACAGAGCTGGGTATGGTGGCTCACATCTGTAATTCCAGCACTTTGGGAGGCAGAAACAGGAGGATCACTTAAAGCCTAGAGTCCGAGACCAGCCTGAGTAACAGAATCAGGCCTTGTCTTTAAAACAAACAAGTAAATAAATAAATGAAGCAGCACTGCTCAGTTACTATTAATAGCAGTAACACTACTACCTCATGAGTAATTTTTAGAAAAACAATATCCAAAATAATTTTCCATGTAGGTGCAATTTTTAAATTACTTAAGGACTGATGAATAAATATTGTGTAAATTACTAGAGTCATGTTAGTTTAGGCTTTTTTCACTGTGGATAACATTGAAAAGTGAGAGTTAATGAAACTACCTCAGTTTAATAAAACCATCAAACAGAAAGACAGTCAACTGAAGGACAAGAAGGAAATACTACTTACACAGTCAAATTAAGAAAAAAAAATTAAAGTTTATTATGCCTTAGTTCTCTACGTAGATTCATAGGAAAAACTTTATTATGCCGAAGAACTATGAGAGAAACATAAAATTCTCTTTTCAGTAATGCACATGCCAGACTTTTGTGGCTTGCTTTTATGGCATTCTCAAATAGGTTAATAAAAAGCTATTTACAGATTTTGCTATCTTTCTGAAATTTTGCTTCATATTCTCCTCCATGTTATAAAGACCTCGTCACCTTTCAAGCAAATCATTCTGAGTGGTGAATCCATCTTAAGCACACTAGCTATAAGAAAAGACCCATGGTAGTTTCTGTCTTTGTACTAGAACTACAGCTATCATATTCAGGACAACTGCTGATCCATCCAGACAAATGAGTCCAAGTCTAGGTTGAAAAGAATTTGCTACGGCCCTTTTGTTTTCTTTTCAGACAGAGTCGCTCTGTCGTCCACATTGGAGTGCAGTGGTGCAATCTGGCTCACTGCAATATCCACCTCTCAGGTTGAAGAGATTCTCATGCCTCAGCCTCCCAAGTAGCTGGGATTACAGGCACGTGCCACCATGCCCAGCTAATTTCTGTATTTTTAGTGGAGATTGGGTTTCACCATGTTGCCAGGTTGGTCGATCTGCCCACCTTGGCCTCCCAAAGTGCTGAGATTACAGGTGTGAGCCAACACAACCAGCCACTACCTTATTTTTTTTTTAAACAAATACTATGTTTTCTTATAGAAAACTAAAGATGTTTCCAGAAAACTAATAATTTACACATCATTTTTAGCTTTCACATGTTAAAGCAATAGATGAAAACTTGACTGGGTGCAGTGGCTTAGTTCCTATAATCCTACCACTTTGGGAAGCCAAGGCAAGGAGGACTGCTTGAGGCCAGGAGTTCAAAACCAGCCTAGTCAACATGGCAAGACCCTATCCCTACAAAAGAAAAATTTAAAAATTAGCTGAGCATGGTGGCACATACCTGTAATCCGAGCTACTTGGGAGGCTGAGGCAGAGGATCATATAAGCCTGTAAGTTTGAGACTGCAGTGAGCCATGGTCACACAACTGCACTCCAGCCTGGGCAACAGAGCAAGACCTCGTCTCAAAAAAAAAGATGAAAGCATTCTGGATGTGGTGGCTAATGCCTGTAATCCCAGTACTTTGGGAGGCCAAGGCAGGTGAATCACTTGAGGCCAGTGGTTCGAGACTACCCTGGCCAACATGGTGAAACCTCCTCTATACAAGAAATACAAAAACTAGCAAGGCATGGTGGCACGTGCCTATAATACCAGCTACTCCAGATGCTGAAGCAAGAGAATCACCTGAACCCAAGAGGCAGAGATTGCAGTGAGCTGAGGTTGTGCTACTGCACTCCAACCTGGGCAACAAAGGCAAAACTCTGCCCCCGCATCCCTCTCGCCAAAAAAGAGAGACAAGGGTTAATAATTAATGGTGATGATGTCTTTAAAATAAAGCACAAAACGGGGGCCCTGCACCCCCAGCAGCAAGGATTGTGGCATGGGTTTCTGCGACGGCAGCTGCGGTGCCCAGACCCAGCGCATCCGGTGTAGGACCCCCCCTCCAAACTGGAAGAAGGAGTTTGGAGCTGACTGCAAGTACAAGTTTGAGAACTGGGGTGCGTGTGATGGGGGCACCGGCACCAAAGTCCGCCAGGGCACCCTGAAGAAGGCGCACTACAATGCCCAGTGCCAGGAGACCATCCGCATGACCAAGCCCTGCACCCCCAAGACCAAAGCCAAGGCCAAAACCAAGAAAGGGAAGGGAAAGGACTAGAGGTCAAGCCTGGATGCCAAGGAGCTCCTAGTGTTACCTGGGGCCTGGCCCAAGCCTTCCCTCTCCCTGGCCTGAGATATGACCTGCCAGTGCCTTCTGTCTGCTTGTTAGCTTTAATCAATCATGCCCTGCCTTGTCCCTTTCACTGCCCAGCCCCACCCCTAAGTACCCAAAGTGAGGAGGGACAAGGGATTCTGGGAAGTCTGAGCTTCCCCAGAGCAATGTGAGTCCCAGAGCCCACTTTGTTCTTCCCCACGATTCCATTACTAAGAAACACATTAAATAAACTGAATTTCCCCACACCACCCCCAAAAAATGAAAATCACTAAAAATCTTTTACTCACAGAAAAAAATAAATAAATAAATAAAAATAAAAATAAAAATAAAATAAAGCACAAAAATAATGGTAGAAATCAGATTTATTATAAACCCTAACACAGGCCAGGCACAGTGGCTCATGCCTGTAATCCCAGCACTTTGGGAGGCCAAGGAGGGTGAATCACCTGAGGTCACCGAGGTCAGGAGTTTGAGACCTCAAATAAAAAAAGGAGAGGGGGGGGTTATCACACTCTCTTTTGGTGAATCCCCTGCTACCACACAAATTCTGAAACAAGATATAGAATTTAACTTTCAGAATCATCTGCTAATGTGAAGTGGCAACTAGAAAAGAAAATTGATTTTAAAATGAATTATGAAACAACAAAATGGTACAAGTTTTGAGTTCACTTTTTTCTTTTTTTTTCTTTTTAAAATGGAGTTTCGCTCTTATTGCCCAGGCTGGAGTGCAATGGCACAATCTCGGCTCACTGGAACCAATGTCTCCCAGGTTCAAGTGATTCTCCTGCCTCAGCCTCCCAAATAACTGGGACTACAGGAGTGTGCAACCATACCTGGCTAATTTTGCATTTTTAGGAGAGACAGGGTTTAACCATGTTGGTCAGGCTGGTCTCGAACTCCTGACCTCAAGTGAACCACTCACCTCAACCTCCCAAAGTGCTAGGATTACAGGTGTGAGCCACTGCACCCGGCCTTGAGTTCACATTTTGATATAACCTAAACTGCAACGTACCAGGGATTTCAAGATACTGAATCAAAATGGGGGCATGAATGTAGGCCCCCAAATACCCTTCAGTCCTACTAAATTGACAGAAGGCCCAAATGCCTGGAATCTTGTCCACTTTAATTTTAAAAAAATTTTTATGTTCACAATTTTGTTAGAGCTAAAGAATCACAACAGTTCATCAAAGTGCAAGATAGAGTATTTAGCTGTTTCTGAAAAGCCAAAAATGGTTCATCAGAAGCTAATTTGAGTTGTCTTAAAGAAGTAGTAATAGGCTGGGAGCAGTGGCTCATGCCTGTAATTCCAGCACTTTGGGAGGCTGAGGCAGGTGGATCATGAGGTCAGGAGTTCAAGACCAGTCTGGCCAAGATGGTAAAACCCCATCTCTATTAAAAATACAAAAAAATTAGCTGGGCATGGTGGTGGGCACCTGTAATCCCAGCTATTTGGGAGCCTGAGGCAGTGAACTGCTTGAACCTGGGAGGCAGAGGTTGCAGTAAGCCGAGATCGCACAACTGCACTCCAGCCTGGGCAATAGAGTGAGACTCTGTCTCAAAAAAAAAAAAAAGTAGTAACAATGGTATATTGACTAATTGTTTTAACAAAGTGGAATTGGCTGGTCCGAAGGTAGTGAGTTATCTCGATTGTTCAGTTAGTCAGTTACAGATCGAACTCCTTGTTCTACTCTTTCCCCCCTTCTCACTACTGTACTTGACTAGTCTTTAAAAAAAATTTTTTTTAAAAAAAGAAAGAAAGT